TTAGTGTAGACCAAGCCTTAGATACCTACAGTTATTGTTAAGTAATTCTACTTTCTTTTTAGAGGTGGTCTCTGCATTTTCCCAGCTCTGGCAGAATGGCAAGCAGTGCAAACCCAGAAAGACAGGCTGAGCAACCCTAATTAGGCAACGATTGCAAAGTAAGTATTGTATCTAAGTGCCAAGTCAAGAACATAGTACTGCATAAAGGTGTAAATAGAGTAGTTTTCTATGATGAAAACATTATAGAAGGATGAAATGATACCACTGTAGCCTTTGTAGAGGGAGCCCTAAAGTGCTCAGGTACTCTAGCTAAGATGTAAGTGCATAATCTCATCCATTTCAATGGATGATGTACGGAAATGGCATTATCTTTACATTTATCCCCCAACGCTTCAAAAAATCTAGGTGATGACCTAAATGACTTAGTCCTATCCAAACAAAATCTCATAGACCTCTTAACATGCAGAGTATGTAGTCTCATTAGGTTTTGGAAAGAAAAACCAAATGAGACTACAAGGGTAATGTTTTGAGTTAGGTGGAACTCAGAACCTCCTTCAACTTCTAGCAATGGGGAAAAAAACACAATTAGATACATGCTCCACTTGAGGGGTGATTGACTGATGGCCTCCTGCTAGACAGGGACAGAGGTAGGTGATGAGCCATTAGATACCTGGATCTTATAAGCAGACTAAGGAAGCTCAATAGGGGAGAGACTGCAGAGAAGGCAGGACTCTCCAGCAGGACATACAGGGAGCAGGGTAGGCTCCTGTGGTGGAAAGCCTTAAACTAGGGCCTGCAAGTAGCAGGGGTGGCTCTATGTATTTTGCCACCTCAAGCACGGCAGTCAGGCAGCCTTCGGCGGCATGCCTGCGGGAGGTCCGCTGGTAACGCGGATTCGGCGGCATGCCTGCGGGAGGTCCACCGGTCCCGCGCCTTCAGCGTATCCGCCGCCGAATTGTCGCCGAAGCCGCGGGACCGGTGGACCTCCCGCAGGCATGCCGCCGAAGGCTGCCTGACTCCTGCCCTCACGGCGACCGTCAGGCTGTCCCCCGCGGCTTGCTGCCCCAGGCACGCGCTTGGTGCGCTCGTGCCTGGAGCTGCCCCTGTCCCTAAGGGGAGCAACTAGAGTCCCCAGAGAGAGGAGTCAGTGAAGGGAAAAACTTGCTAGACAAGAAACAACAGAGAAAGAACTCTGCAGAAGCAGGTTAGGGTCCTGTGTGGGAGACCCTGAGATAGGTCCAGTAAAAGCACTTCAGTGGACCCTTAGGGGGCGGAAAAGTAATAAGTTTAAAGATTTACTTGGCCTTTGTTGCACCTTTTTGCTACCCTGGAATGGGTTTTAAACTTCTAAGTGACTTGACTAGAGGACTAAGCCAAAGAAGACCCTAGAGGTGACCAGTGTGCAAAGACTAGTGGTTTGCAAGGAGTGCTAGAGATAAGGATCTCTGGCAGCACTGCACTCTAACACAAGGGGGTACACTCACGGTGAGTATGTTTACTACTTTTGGTTAAAAACTTTGGGTGGGGACACAGGACAGCTTTGTCCCCATGGCCTAGAGAGTGAAGGAAAGTTTAGCAGTCAAAACCTCCCATTCATTCTTCTCACAGATGTAATTGCAATTAAAAATATATATATTTTAAAAGCATTAAAATCATGTCTCCAGCAAGAGACCAAAAGGTAAGAGGAGAAGATGGAGACTGATGTGAATATGCAGAGACATTACTCTGAGAGAATTACAAAAGGCTGATATAATGCATCCTTTTCAGCACCAAATATATATCCCATGCCAGGACAAGTTCTCTGACCACTGGAAATCTTAACCAGAAATCCTGTCATAGTAGTGTGGCTGAAAACTTTACAGTTGTTAGCTAGAAGGTGGTGATGGTCTGTTGCTTTGTTGTTGGACTTCTTGGGAAGGAGGGTGGAAAAAATAAGGGTGGGTGATGAGGAAGTGTGTTTTATATGCTAGAGCATCCTTTCCACAAAGATGTTGCAGGATCCTAGTGACAATATGGGTTTTCGTAAAGGTACCATAGAAGGTAATGTGAATGTACTTGAAAAGTATTCTCTAAACAGTGACTGCCACGATTCTGGAAGCTCATTACAGAAATAATCTGATGGCTCATTTCTCCACTACCTTCTACTATTTTGAGAGAAAATCCTGGACCATGTACTTCTCACTCATTATCAACCCCTACCTCCCACTTCCAGTTGTCACAAACAAGATACCAATCAAATAATAAGCAATGGGAAGGCACCCATCTAATTTCTCCTATTCCCCTGTATCATTCTTCATTCAGTCAGTCTCTCCCACTTCCCAAAACACCAAACCTAGTTTTTGCTTACCTTTTTGGGTGCCCGGGCTTTGGTAGCCTTTGCTTTCTTTCCACTCTTCTTGCTCACCAAGGATTTCCTCCCTCTCTTTTCAGGAGACGGGGAAAGGATAGTTTCAGATTTGCCTTTGGCACCTCGTTTTTTGGCAAGAAGCTCTGGTTGAATTCTGGGCAGGACCCCTCCACTTGCAATGGTCACTCCTTTTAGCAACTGCAGGGAGAGGCAGTGTAAAGAAGCATGACTTATCTGATTAAAATCCCTCATTCTTGACTAGAACTGTCCTCATAGACTACACTGCACTATACACAAGTAGGGTATACAATATTTAAAACACTCATTTTATTCTATTTGTGGCATTTGTACTGTAATGCTCATACAAAAGTAACAATGCACTTCACAATAATTATTTAATAGCAAAGGTAAACAGCCTGAAATTAAAGGATGCTGGCTAGGGATACAGAATTATAGACATAAAAGCAATTAAGGAATTCTCCATCTGCCAAGCCTAGTATAAAAAATAACTCAGCTATGGATCAGATTAATAAACTAGAGATAGAGTACTGCTGAAACTCTAAGTGACAATGATAGATTCTGGCATTATTTATGGGAGCACTGAAGGAATGGGGTCCTGATGTACACACAATAAAATCTCTCCCACAAAGTCAACTTACGCATTCATATATTACCGGCAAATCACTTGACAGAACATGCAGGTGGCCATTTAAGACATAAAGAACAAGGGATTACCTACAGTTTCCTTTTCCATTCCTTACACAAATAAGAGTCCATGGCATAAAAGTCGTTTTTGTTCTTATGTTGGCGGGCAGATTCTTGTTTCATTTTCTGTTGTGGGAACCATCTTGGACTCATCTGAATACCACACTGGACTGTTTCTAAACTTTAAGTATGGCATCTGTACTTGAGCAACAGTGTACAGACAACCATACACTAAAATTCTGAAAGCATACCTGGTTCAGTTCCTCATCATTGGCAACTGCCAGGAGGATGTGTCTGGGGGCAATTCTTCCCTTTTTGTTGTCTCTTGCTGCATTCCCTGCTAGCTCTAGTATTTCAGCTGCAAACACATTGGGGGCAAAAATCAGCAACAGAAAAGCAACAAATCTAACAAAATTGGAGTGCAGGCTTTCTTCAGGGAATAATCAAGCATCTTGTTCCCCACTCCAGAATCTGATGTGCAGTATCACAGCATCTTTCTGACCAACTTCTGTAAGGTATCATTTCCAGATGTGGGGTTTTTTTTGGCTTTAAAGGGACAATAGCAAATAACTGAAATCCCAGGTTTGATCTACTTAGAAATTATCCTATTTTGGTGGCAAATGTTCTCAAGATAAGAACAGCCTGACTTTCATTTACACTAATGCCACTTTATATCGCCAAAGCAGTGTAAAGTGGCTTTAGTGTAAAGGAAAATCAGGCTAAAAATCTTTTTATTACAAATCTACCACTCCTTACTGAAAAACATAGAAACAAAACAATAGTCAATGTTTATGTAAGATTACAAAAAATATTTTATGATCCTTTCCTACTTTTCTAAACAGACACTGTAAAAAGCTAGGGTGCTAAAAATTGGTTCGTGTAATTCTATATTGCTTTCTTCAAATCTCAAGTTAAAATGCTCTTTCAAAAAATGTCAGCAGCCCAAAATTCACAAGTAATCCTACAACAATAAAACAGTGTGAGCATCCAAGGGAAAAAACAAAAATCTAGTAGAGAGTCTTGATGGTGAGGATTCTTAGGACTAGACAAGTAAAAGTGCTGCTGGCAAGGAGTGAGGTGCATTGATAGAATTGTGATGAAGGCCAGTAGAATAGAACAGAAAGGAAATGCTACAGGTCTAGATTGAGGGGCACTGACAAAGCTGTGTGAAGATTCATTTTACAGAAGGAAGAGTTTTGGTTTGGATGCAAGTAGGTAACTTGCTACCCAGATTCTGACTGCATGAACTGTTAGTTGTGATCCCTTCCAGAAATTTCAGGGATTGATGGTCATGCCATAGTTCATGTGAAAAGTAGTTTCTCTAGATTTGCTATAAGGTTTCAGCTGTGACCTACCACCTCAGTTACCTTTTTTGTGATTTATCTAGATGTAACATACAGGCCGATGTGATTTTTCTTTATTTGCTACATTTTTTTTAAAACGATGTTCAACTCTATCAGTGGAACTCATTAACTTCTCAAATTTAACCTTGTATATAGTGAAAAACAGGAAGAACCTGTTCCTTGGTTCCTTGTACCTCTACTAGTATATTAATGGGGGGCGGGGGTTGTTTGGTTGGGTATCTTTTTGCATTAAGCAAGCATAAAAATAATATTGGAGCACTGATTCATTTTAAGAATGTCCAATGTCCCGCTCTTCTCTTGCTTTTTAAAATTTTGTTAACTGGGGTTCAAGTCACAATTGCATCAGTCCTTCATTGGTGATATTGTACTTTTTTCTCATAGAAAAAAAAATAACTGCAAGAGGTATAAATACAAAAATCTCCAAGGAAAACTCACTGGAAATCTATAGAAAACTACTTGGCTTATCATCCAGGGACAACAGCAGAAAGCACAGGTGCTGGAACTAGGGGTGCTGCCACACCTCCTGGCTTGAAGTAGTTTCCATCATATACTGGTTTACTATTTTGTTGAATGGCTCTCAGCACCCCACTATAAACATTATTCCAGTACCCCTGACAGGAGGTTTAACTCCACAGGAGGAAAAGAGGTCTTCAATACTGCAAACCTGTCCTCCCGTTTTTACTACTTCTTAGTGTACAAAATAAACCCTAAGCAGCAAAATATGAATGTTAAAGCTGTAAAAGTTGTTTGGAATTATTAGTAATTAGTTATGTAAAAAACTATTAGCATTTGTTTAATATATAAACTATTAAACACTACCTATGTTAAAAGAACATTATTAAAGTTGCAAAATCAAGCACTCAAGAATTAGATGCTAGAATTAAGACTGCCTGTGTGACCTTAATCTGACTCCCTTGTACATATACATTCATCCCAGTGCAGGTTCATCCTGTGCACTGAAGGAGGCAGGGGATCTGTGGAACATTTAGTTTGCACAGGCAACCTTCATTTTGGTGTTTCCTAAGTTCTGATTGCTTGATTTTGCAACTTTAATAATGTTCTTTTAAACATTGGCTGCCAGTCTTTCTCACCGGGCGCCTCTTCCAATCCCAATCTCCGCCCTGGCTCCTTGTCCCAGTAGCTCTGCCCAGCCAGTCTTATCTTCCCCCCAATACTCCATCTCCTTGTCAGATCTGTCTCTCCCCCCTAGCTGCCCATTCTTCCTGATTAGTTCCTAGCCCCAGTCTCCTTGTCCAGCTAGTTCCAGTTTCTTCTGTCCAATCTCAATGCTCCTTCCTCCCCTGCCAAATGGCTCCTAGTCCCAAACTGCCTTCCATGACTTCCAGTTCATCTCCTAGCTCAAGCAGTCCAAACCTCCCTTCCCCCAACTTCCAATCCCAATCTTTTTGCCCAGCTATTCCCAGTCTGCCTTCACTCCCCCGGCTCCTAGTCTCCTATCCTAACCAGTCCCAATTTCTCCCCACCCCTCCAATCTCAATCTCACCAGATTGCTTGTCCCAATATACAGCAGAACCCGTTTATCTGACCTTCCATTATCCAGTTCACCTTATTAATTGAACAACCAGCACACACAGGTCCAGAAGTGGGCGATCTCTCCTGTGGCTGGTAGACGGTGCTGCAGCCTCGCACTTTCCCATTCTCTGGATTATCTGAATTTTTGATCTGGCTCTGGTACCAATTGGATCAGATAAACAGGGTTCTGCTGTACTTCTTCCCCCTCCTTCCTTCAGTCCAGCTTTTCTCCCTTCTGTATTCAGCTCAGATGACTTCCTCCTCCACACAGACTGGGTACCAGCAGAGGGATCATTGTGAGCACAGGAGAGACAGGCTCCTTGTTCTCAGTTCCAGTACCCAGCTTCACCCTAGTCAGGAGCAGTAATTACAGGGAAAGTCCTTCTGAGCCCCTGTAGCCCTGGGCAGTAGAAGGCTCAGGGCCAGTGTGGGCATGGTGAATGCATAGTGCAGTCACATGTAGGAGCTGTGAGGCTGGAGCACGCTACAAGGATTTTAACTGTTAAAAATCAAAGACCTTTCTACTGAGTATATGCAAACTGCAGCTTTTTCAAAGGCTTACAACTTGGCCAAATTTGGACAGAAGTCCCAAGACAGCTGCTAGGAAGGGAGGAGAGATTGGAGGATCCATGTAACAATGGATCCTCTTGGCCTCACTCTTCCCAATCTCCCTCTCAGCTATGCAAGTATCCCCTTAGAGCCGTGCTCCATGCCACAGAGGGCTAAGGACGCTCTGCAAGGTCTTCCCAAATCATGCCCCTGCCCTTGTATAGCATAACTTCACCATATCCTTCTAAGAGGGATTTTGGTGCCTACAATGGTCAGGGAAACAATGTTTCTTTAATATATAAAATAGGACTGTGTAAATATGGGTTTATTTACGTATGCACACTTGAGATTTTGGAACAAACAACTTAATTGATAATATATTAGAAAATGAAAGAGAGGAAGGCACAACCACCATTTCAGACTTTGAGTCTGTTTCTCTGGAGGTTGGATCTTTTGCCTGTGGCATTTCATTCTTAACTTATTTTTCTGGATTTATTATTTCTTGCAGTTGGATGAGCTATAGGTGGACAGAAATGCTTTATTTAAACTTAACTGTATTTGTACCATATAAACAATATTTTTCTTTTTAACTTCAAAACCAGTGTTAGATAAAGGTGAATTCTGATTCCAGAATTGCTTTATGGCGAATATGAAAGTGTCACCAGCATTTTGCTCCCTCCTGTTAGACATAATCAAAAGCCTGAAAACTAGACTTGCTTATTTCTTCAATGTCTCAAAATAAGCCTTCTGTATTATGCATATGAAAAGGAAACTTATTCCTTATGATTTTCTTGACAAGGAGAGGAGTTATAACGGAGGCTGCATCAAATATGTGTAAAAGGGACTAGATAGCAATTGCTACAGACACATATGCTGTTACGTGGGCAGGCAGGCTCCATGCAAGTTTCCCCCATGCAGCTCTTGCAATGAACTGTAATTGTGAATTGCAGCACATTCAACTAGTCCAGGCCTCAAACTCCTCACAGTTCTCCTAATACACCTCAGTCTTCAACTGTGACATCCCTGTAATTCCAGCCTGAGCCTTCCCTCCAACAGGTACAATGACATTATGCTAAGGGGCTATTTTGTGATGTGGACAAATTTATATTATGGTGAAACTGAAGCTTAATTCTTCTAGATCTAAATAAGAATATGAACTTGAATGTCTTCATAGGGGAAAACCTAGTGCAGCAACAGCAACCTGTGTCACCTCCCCCACCCTCATCCTTGGTGCATTATGTTCAATTTCACGGCACCACATAAAGCTTAGGTATTTACTAAAGTTAAAACACATTCTCTAACATCATTAAAGGTAGGTGTGTGTGTGGGGCGGGGGGGGGAAGAGGGGGGTTGGGTTTTTGTTTGTTTTCTGGACATGTAAGCAAGCAGAAACGGTTTCATAACAAAGCTGAACCACAACCACATTTCACAGCCACTTTAACAAGTTTTGGTTTTTTTGTTTTGGGTTTTGTTTGTGGGCTTTTTTTTGGTAAGGGTAGATGCGGTTAAAGAGAATGTAGTTTAATTTAACTAGAACATGCTATTAGAGTAATGTGAATTCTCCTTTTTTCTCGTCTGTTATACTCATCCAACTCTCTCAAAGTCCTACATTGGTCTCTCTTTTGTGAAAAAAGTACTCAATGCAACACCCTTTATGGCCCATCACACTTTTAAATCAGGCAAAGAGATCATTGCAGAACAGTAACACGATCCTTCCACATAGAGATCAAGCATGCTGCCCCTGCTGCTCCAATATGTGAAGGAATCCACCTCAACCCATTAAATGCATTTTGGTATATTCTTTACTCTTTTAGAGCTTGTTCCCCCGCCCCCCCGCCAGTGTGCATAGCCCATGGACTTCACTTGGCTCTGTACATGATCAGCACTTCTAAAATGAGGCTCTTAATTTACCTGCTAGGTATTCTATGACAGCTGCCATGTAGACTGGCGCTCCAACACCTATCCGGTACTTGTATGTTCCTTTCCTCAAGTAGCGCATCATCCTCCCCACAGGGAAAATAACACCTGCCCTGCTTGAGCGTGACATTTTGGACATTTTCTTTTTCCCACTTCGGGCAGACATCTTGCTGCTATATTCCTTTCAATTTGCTGACAGAAAGTTTTTATTTACTTGCACCTACACAAAGCTGCAAGGGAAAAGAGATGGATTGATGGTGAGTATAGCATAGTTCTACAGAACAGTATCAATATAGACTTGCTTGTGCTTTCTCACAGAGACATTGATCTGGCCACAATAAATACAGATATTAAAGCAGAAGCATCACTTATCAAACAGCATACAATCTGAGCACTCAGAACACTATAATCTGTGTTCTTTTGCGTACTGTATATTAAGACAGAAATAGATCAAGAAGAGCAGTTTGGGGAATACAAGAAAATTGAATGCACATTAACTGATTATAATATAGAAAAAAACTGCTGCTATTCAATATATCTGTAAACATCTCTTTGTTGTGTATAGCAGTGATGATGCATCTGCAGTGGAAGGATTTAATTCTTGCTAAATGCCTTAAAATCAGTTTACAAAGTGAGGGGAATATTTTCAGCATACCATGGTGGGAGATAGGCATGTAGCACTCATCATTATTTAATGACGTTTCATTTGGTTCTGTTTGTTACGGTAAATAAAACTACATAAAATAAACTACATTAAAAGAATGTTACGGTAAAACACTCAAAAATTAGGGAATACCAGAAGTGAGGTTGCCCATGCAACCTTAAGTCAGCTGCCTTATGTGGATGCATTCTTATGCAGTCTTGCATTAAATGGCCACATACTTTTATTTATTTTTTCCTTTAGGGCCCCGTCTCATTAGTACACAAAAAAAGGCAATGCTTATTGAATGGGTAGCTATTAATATTTCTTTTTATCCTCACCATTTAGTGTGTGGCTACATGCTTTAATTACTGTATACCATTCAAAACCTGTGTATGGGCTTTTTTATGGCACTCATCATTGCATCTGAGTGATTTACAAACATTAATGAATTTCTTTATAACACACATATCAGATGGGGTGGCATTATTACCATTGAATAGATGGGGAACTGAGAGATTAAGGCCTATGTTGTCAAATACGTCCACTAATTTTGCTGCCCAAATTTAGATGCTTAAAATCTGATTTTTCAGAGTAGTTGGTATTTTTATAGTACTTCAGATGTTCAAAGCATAGCTCGCATTAACTTCATTTGCAGTTGTGAGAGCTCAACATTTTTGCAAATGAGGCTCCCAATGTCTCAATCAAGCTGGGCACTCAGATAGGGAGGAACACACAAGTGGCCACCTGTGGAAAATTTTGATTTTAGTGACCTGCCCAGCATTCCATTGGAACTCTGGCAGATGCAGATAAAATCCAGTTCTCAAAAGTGGCATTCAACTATCTTAACCATGAAACCATCCTTCCTCCTCTTGCAATTCCATGCCTCATTTACTAAACACTTTCCCACTATAACAACAAATGTGGTCAGGGGTCCTACAGACAACAGCCTAATTCACTACTCAACCCTGATTCATTCCTTGAACTCCATCTACCTTGTGCACTAAACGAGGCAGGGTTTGGTCAAAGTTGGGTGGATTTTCAAAGGTCTCCTGGCACCATAGCGATCCTCCTGTCACACCTCAAATCATGGAGGAACTGGAGTTTCTCAATTAAAAGGCTGTAAGAATTTTTTTAACATGGGCAAAGCAACATATTTCTCCCCAACCTCATTCTCTAAAATGGCTGAACCATTTGTTAAAAACCCAGCCTGAGGGCTTGGCTACACTTGCAAGTTAGAGTGCATTAAAGCAGCCCTGGGCGCCCTAGCTCACTACCTGTCCACACTGGCAAGGCACGTAGAGCGCTCTGACTCCAGGGCTAGAGTGCTCCTGGTACTCCACCTCGGCGAGAAGATTAACACTTGGTGCACATTGGCTGAAACGCCCAGGCGTTGGTGTGAACAAGGTGTTGCATTACTGTGCTCTGATCAGCTTCCGGAAACATCCCATAATCCCCTTAAATCAAGTGGCCACTCTTGTCATTGTTTTGGAATCGCTGCAGGAATGTGGATATGCCCTTTGAAAGCTCCGTTTCTGACAGCCGGCATGCTTATCTGCTCCGAGACAAAGCAACCATTCACTGTGGAATGCTGTGTGTGAGAGAGAGAGGGCGGGGGGGAGGAGGGGGTCTGTTGCTGTCTGAACTTACAAGACAGCATGCGGACATGCTCTCAGCCCCCCAAAAACCCACTCTCTCCTCCCACATACACACAACATACTCCTTGTCACACTCCACCCCACCCCCCTCATTTGAAAAGCACGTTGCAGCCACTTGCATGCTGGGATAGCTACCACAATGCACTGCTCTCTGTGCCTGTTTCAAGAGCTGCTAATGTGGCCAGGCCAGTGCGCTTGCAGCTGTCAGTGTGGACAGATTGCAGTGCTTTCCGTACTGCGCTCTACGAAGGCCAATTTAACTCAAAGCGCTCTACATCTGCAAGTGTAGCGATGCCCTGAGGTAGACACCAGCATGGAAAATTGCAGCCCCAATGATTAAGTTTGGCAGTTATAAGCAATCAAAAGCAGGGTGTTAGGGTGGAAGGCAAGCTAAACTACCTGTAGTTCACTGTCTGTTCACTGTTCACAGTAGTTCACTGTCGGTTCTGCGTATAATAACTACAGGGAGCTGGATCATCCCTTGTGAATGTGTACATAGTTAAATTTGGAAGGATTAGATGTTTATCGGTGAATGTTGGCAAACGTTGATTTCAACATACACACGCAAACCAATGAAAAATATTTCTATCCATAATTTACAGATAGGCAAAGTAAGAAATATGCTGCTGAGAACATAGTTTCATTTAAGGATATTTACCTTGTATATTTTGACATGTGATATTGACAATTTGTCTTTTAACAGTTATACAGCTATAACCTTTTGAATCTCAACGTCTACTGTCACTTCATAATTTTTATCTGACCCTCCCATAATTTCCAGCAATTGTGAAAATTTAAATTGATAAAAATAAGTTATAAATAAGCATCGATTTTTATCCACTGAAATTATATTTAAAAAAAAACCCTCTAATTCTGCCAAGGCTATATTTAGCGTTCCTCCGTTCCATGTGGCAGAGAGTGAAAGCCACCTCTGTAATACTCCTTCTTGCTGTGTCTTATGTGAATGGAGGTCCATTAAGTTCAGGAGGTAGAACTGAGCTGAGATAGGGAGAAACAGGGAACAGGCTGTACTCCACAAAACCACCCCTCTTTGTTCTGCTCCTGCTTTTTCAGCTGGAACTCTGGGAGGCAAATTATATGGGTCAGAGGTGTATTAACACCCTCCTCTGGGTCGCCTTCACAGCTGCTACTGGGCAGCCACAGGAGCCAACCTCCATGGAGCTGGGAGGAGGTCCCTCATCTCTTGCCCTAAAGGGAATGATTACCAGTTTTTCTGCCCCTCTGGCTTCCTCCTGTAGAAGTTTTCCATGGGAAGAGACAATCTAGGCTAGGCTTAAGGAGCAAAGAAAATAAAATCTAGCTCCCTCCTTGCTTCTTCCTGTTTTGTGGAAACAATAAACAAGTTTCCCGGGTAAATGTTATGACGACTCTGGAATCAGCCATTTTACTTAAACAGTATAAAAGGCTTTTAGCTACAGATACAGCTTCAGCTATTAGTCAAGTAATTGCTACATTTTAATTTTGTAAAGATAGCTGTCCACCTTAATGCCTAATTCTGATCCCAGTTACTCCACAGTAAGTCCTTTGCCACTCTACTGAAGAATATGAAGAATTTGGCTGCAGCACCTGATGCTTCTGCTGATGAAGACATATGTATAGAATTTCTCTCATATGCATTCACAGCAAAGGAACAAGAAAAAAGGAAAAGGTTAAGTTGAAAAGGATTGTGGTGACATGAAGTGAGGCACTGTGGGAAATCTATTCTATGGCTGTAGATAAGGGCATTTCTGAGTTCCAGAGCATGATGAAGGCACAACACAGAACTCTCTTCCCACTCCATTCAAATCTTTTTATTTTTTAACACCCACATTTTTCAGCCTGCTTTCAGTTTTTATGCCCTAAAACGGGGGTTGCCACAGAGAACCTGATCTTTTCCAATTTTACATGTGTAATTTCAAGGTCCTACATTGTCATGACCAAACTTTCTGAAGGGGGCTGCATGTGAAACCTCTTGAATTGAGGCGAGGGCACTGCTTTGTGACATGTGTTGTTCACTCATTGCAGGCGCTAAGCTTGTTGCCTCAACAGCTCTTGCAATCCCTGATAGATTGGGAGTGAAGGACAAAACTATAACCGGGAATAACAACATAATATAGTGTGCTTCTGTGATCAGGATCTTAACAGCCTTTGATATTACTGCATCACAAAGACACATTCAAAATCCATTTGAGAACACTGAAATCCAGGTCTAGTTCTTCTGTTTATTCTAAGGGAGTGACTATATGAAAAGGCCCACCTGTCCAATACTAGTTTAGATGTTCTAAATTGCTCATCTTTAACAGCCATCAGGAAATCAAGGACACTTTCTTTGGGAATCTAAATTGAATTCTAGCTACACTTATGCCACATTTAAGAAAGAAAAACACCAGAGAGTCAACAGTGGTCTAAAATACCCCCGGTTTGTCCTTATCCACCATGCTGCTGATTTTCCTTTCTGAATGTGTTTATTAATAGGTATAGTAACGAAAACTAAGGGAGAATAAACTAATAACCTTGTAGACAGACATACTAAGAATTCAAGATACACGTGACCTCATTATGAATTCCTAAATAATTACCAATTTTGAATCAAGTGCTGTTATGTTATATTATGGGAACTAATAAAATTGCCATTTGATCTAAAATCTAATTACTGGATAAATATTTGCTCTAAAATGTCAATAGTGGGACTACTGAATGAAAAATAAAAAAATCCCACAACAATGCTATTTTATGATGTCATTAGCTGATCCCCCCTCCCCCCCCCTCTGCCCCCTTTTTAATTCTGTGGCTGATTTTAACACTCTGGCAGCAAAGGATGAATTGCATTAGGGATATCATGGTAATGGATGCAATACTGTGATAAACACTATGCCAGGCTTCAGGAAACAGCCATACACTGCCACACAACTGTGCCAATGCACCTCAATCCTGAACTTTAGCAGTGCTGCACAACGGTTTGCAATTTTATTTCACAACATTTTAACAGAATTTCCCCTTGGTAACTGTTCTGTGTTTTCAGGCCCAGTGACTGTTCAATAAACTTTTGCTTTTTACAAAATAATGATGAAAGCAAGTTCTCCGACAAGATGGATGGAGTATTACATAAACTACTTTACAAATTATGTTGACCAAAAGAGGACATGAGATAGCATACTGCAATAAAAACCAAAATGAAACTGCCAAATTTATTTAATTTGTCACAAGCCAGTCTTAAACTCAGCACTTTATCTTATAACATTGAATAATCTCACTAACACATCCTTTTTAGTTCTTATAATTGTCATTCAAATGGCTATCAAGTATCTATCTAGCTCAAACTCACACTAAATTAATCTCTCTTCCATTGTTTTTGAAGGACAAAATCCTGCTTCTTTCTAAGTCAATGACAAAACTACAATAGGAGGAGGATTTGGCCCATCAGAAATGTTGTGGTTGCATTCAGCATCTGTGTTAAAAAAATCAAAGCACATTGGTAGAGCTGTGGATATGAAAAAGTACTCAACTACAAAGTAATGAGAGAAATTATTACATTATATATGTTCTCTCATTGTGCAATTAAATCATTTTCCTGACTCCCTCGTCCCTCACTGTGTCTAATTTTCCATCCTCTCCCTTTACCTGATCATTATTTTTCCTAATAGTCCCACAACTGTCACACACTTCTGTGCAACTGTTCCTTGCACTTCTCCCAAACTGCTGTTTCCCAACTGTCAAGGAACCGTTGGATTACACACTCTTTCCTTCTTATTCTAAAGAATTTTTTTTTATGAGCTTCAGGTCAGGGCTGAGATACCTTAACAGAACCTTGTGAGAACCTGAACATGCAAGTGGTGTTAGAATAGGTCAGGATTGAGGTGCATTGGCCAAATGGAGTAAAGAAAGCTTAAACATATGTACCATGTCTGGCTCTAGCTAATGATCTTACCCCTCAACAGCATGATCACTAAAACAAATCAACCTGATTTGCATGCGTATGCACATATGTTTGTGGGACCAAAGCTTCAGCTATGAAAGTAACAAGGAGTCCGGTGGCACCTTAAAGACTAACAGATTCATTTGGGCTTAAGCTTTCGTGGGTAAAAAACCCACTTCTTCAGATGCATGGAGTGAAAATTACAACATGCATCTGAAGAAGTGGGTTTTTTACCCACAAAAGCTTATGCCCAAATAAATCTGTTAGTCTTTAAGGTGCCACCGGACTCCTGGTTGTTTTTGTGGATACAGACTAATACGGCTACACCTCTGACACTTAGTAGTTATGAAATAGGACTTCCCTTTATTTCATCCAGTCCCAAAGTATGCTAATTTAAGTGAGCTCTGAGTTTCTGTTTCTCAAGCTGTTTTGCCAGCATGAGCTGAGTTTATAGGACTCTTACCCCTGACTGACATAAGTTTCACTGACCAAAGTGCCAGTGTGGACAGCGCTGTCAGTGGGAGACGCTCTCATGCCGACATAGCTACCGCCACTCGTTGGGGGTGGTTTAATTATGCCGACGAGAGAGCTCTCTCCTGTTGGCATGGAGTGGCTATATGAAAGACCTTTACAGTGGCGCAGCTGCAGTGGTACAGCTGTGCTGCTGTAACGTATGTAGTGTAGACATAGCCTTAGACTACACTGCAGTCTACAAAATTTGTGCTGAAACTCGTAGGCTTCTAAACTTGCACAGTATCTATATTTTTCAGGGTAAAAGTTCCCTTGACACCTAAGTTTCTGCTTTTGAGCATCCACAATGTTACCTCACTCTAGGCCTTTGGACTCCTATCTTCCACCTAAGCACCAGAGCAATCTACAGGCCCAGGGAAGATAGACATTCATCTGCCTAACTTACATGCAGGACTCAATTCGGTAGGTGTGTTCAGAAGCTGCCTGCCAGATTTGGTCCCATTTAAAATGTACTGGTAGTGGCTACTGCCACCGCCATTATAATTTTTATTCTAGTGGTTAAAGTGGGGAAGGGGACAAGTTCAAAATGTATCTTGAATGGCGGGGGTGGTGGTGTTTGCAGTGCATTCTACAACGGACAAGAAACCTGTTAAAATTTAACAGAAAGGGAAGATATTTTCCTTTTTATAGGCACCAGCAAGAAAAAAAAGTTGTTGCATGTACAGGAAGGGGGCTTGGAAAACTAGGACAACTAAAACCATTATTTGTCTGAAAAAATGTTTGCCTACTACTGCTTCACATAACATTAAGATTACCATGTCTAAAAGTGATTCAAAAATATTGTTTTCATTTTGCTTAATTTGTGTACTTGGTAATATATTGTTTGTGTTTATCCTATTACTGAATTATTTCCCCTTTTTGTTTAGGTATGCTTTTCACACAGCAACAACAGTGATAGAAACTTGTAAACAAATAAGATTATAAATCCACACAAATCAGCAGTGGTATACAGAGGCAGATATAGTAACTGCAATTATTTCTAACTCAATTTTTAAAACTAACTGGATTTCAAGTTGTATGCCGTGTTTTAGCTGTATCAATCCCAGGATATTAGAGAGGAAAGGTGGGTAAGGTAATATCTTTTATTGGACCAACTTCTGTTGGTAAGACAAACAAGCTTCTAAGCATACACAGAGCAAAACTTCAGGTTTGGGAAACATACTCACTATCACAGCTAATACAAGATCTGAACAGATTGTTTAGCTTAAGTAGTTACTACACATTTCAAGGGACTATTCAGGGTGAATCACCTTGAACGGGACACTTCACCCTGAATAGTCCCTTGAAATATGTCCAGTTATGTGCAGTACATTTCACAGACCTGTGTATGATCAAAAGCTTGTCTCCGGCTGTCTACACTACAGACCTTGCAGTGGAGAGAGCTCTCCTGCCAGCATAATTAAACCACCCCCAATGAGCGATGTTAGCTATGTCAGCAGGAGAGCCTCTCTTGCCAACATAGAGCAGTTGACACCAGCACTTTTGGCGGTGAAAGTTATGTCCGTCAGGGGGTGGGGGGTGTTTTTATTGGACAGAAGTTCGTCCAGTAAAAGATATTACCTCACCCACCTTGTCTCTGGATTTAAAGTTAACAGTATCCCTTTAAACAGGCCCTAAAGGAAGGCCACTGGCCAAAAATGAGAATAATCATAAGAAAATATGGAGTTAGTAGGAGCTTCAGCACAAGAGTAACTGAGATAACTGTGAATGTTTGAGATGTTTTGAAGTTGGTGGCAGGCAAATTTCTGACCCCAATGATGGAGATGAAGTGAAATGTGGGAGTTGAGGAAGAGATATAGGAGTTGATGAATATGGCTGACCAGAGGGTAGATAATCAGCAGCCCCCTTTCCCCAGGTGAGTTTGTAGGAGGCTGGCAGCAGTGTGCAGCACCAGCGTGCCTAATGGCACGTGACATGCTAAAAAAGACATTAGACAAGAGAGAGCAGCCGCCGCAGCTCTGCCACAAAGGGAAACTGAGTCTGTACTAAGGGGACGGGGGTCATTTTCAGCCCACGCGGGCGCCTCACACGCTGCCCTGGTGGAAAGGGCAGCCCAGGGCGGGCGGGCGGCTCCGAACGTGCCTGTGCACAAGACATGTTTCCGTTGCTACCCCGCGCTCAGCCCCCGCAGGGTCCGAGCTCAGCGGAGGCGGGAACCCAGTGGTGCGGGGCGGGCGGCGCTCTAGCCCAGCGAACGAGAACAGGCTCTGCCGTCTCCCCGCAGCAGTGTCGGGCTGCGATTGTTTTGTTTTCCCCGCGGTAGCCTCTGCGGCGCTTGTCTATTTAAGGGGCCGGGCTTCTAGTCCAACAGCAGCCTTTTGTCAAATCTGAACCCGCCTTTTTTTTCAAATGCAAACTGCCAAGGCCCCTTCCCCGGCACCTCCTGCGCGACTCGGCTGTCTGCGCTCTTCGCCAGACAACAGACCCGCCCCCCAACGCATGGTGCGCGCGCTCATTGGCCGAGCCAGAGATTAAAGCACCGGCGCGCACAGCGGGAGAACTAGGGGGGCGTGAAGTGATTGGCCGAAGGGCTGGATACTCGGACATGCGAAGGACATCTTCTCTGACGTGGGTGGTGAAAGTCGCGCGCCGACTAGGGCATAAGGGGGCCCTGGGTACGAGGCGCGCTCCGAACGGCTCGGGGCTATACAAGCGACTCACTGGGGCGCGCGCGCCAGAGGAGAGGGGGCTGTTAGAGGGCGTGCGCCCGCCGGAGGGAAGGGATCTTCCCGCGCAAACCCCAAAGATCGAGTCTCAGGTGCCGGTGGGCTGCCAGCCCCGCCCCCAGAGCACGGCTCCGGGGGGGCTGTAGGCTTAGCTCGATGGAGGCTGCCATTAACCGGGCTCCGACCGAAAGGGCGTCCCGGAAAGGGAAGCGGAGGGGGAGTGCCCTCGCCTCGCCCCACTCCCCCGGGGAGAGTCACACAGGGAGGGAGAGAGAGCGCACACCCCCTCCGGACCGGGCCGCTGGGAATCGCTCCTGGCGCCGCACAGCGCAGCCTACAGAGCACCGGCTCCGCATCCCCGGGGTCCGGTCACCACCCTGCGCCCAGACCTCCCACAGCTGGGGCCCGCCTCGGCCCTACGTGCCCCCGGCCAGGCCTTTCCCTGGGGTCAGCCCGCGCCTAGCGCCGGCCCGCCCCCATCCCTCGGAGGATTCTTTCACCCCGGGCTAGCGGGTTGGGGCAGCCGCCCTGCCTCAGCCGCGGGTGGAGAGCCTGGGCAGACAGAGCGTCCGATCTTCGCTTTCCTCGCCCGGCCCCCCCAATGCTCCGCACCCGCCGGGCCTCTCTCCTCACCTGCCCGGAGGTCGCCGCCGCCTTCCCCGCCTCGGGAGGCTCCTGCTGCCGCTGACTCCCCTGGGCTGCTCTCGCCTGCCGCTAGCTTTCTCTTGTATTGTATGTTTCAATGGCGGCGGCAGCTCTGGAGGGGGACGGAGAGGGGGGGGCTCCTTCTTCTCCACATACCGCCTCTAGGAGGAGTCACTGCAGCTTGCCTGCAACAGCCCCTGCCGCCCGCACACAGCGCGCTGCCTCTCCCTGGCCAGGCCCGCTGGCTCCTGTCTTCCCAAACCGACCCGCTGACGATGAAAGGGCTCCCCGGCCTTGGCTGCGGGGGTGCCGTGGGTCAGTGCATAAATAAAAGCAGGCTTTCCTGAGTGCAGGGATAGTCTGGCCTGCGGGGGGGGGGCAGATAGAGTTGGCGCCATTGTGAGGTTTAGGGGTCCTTTAAATGACATGTTTGATGGGACACTAAATAATATCCAGGGCTGGTTCATAGCGTCCAGGGTTTGGTGCCCCAATTGGTATTAAGGGAGCCACTCATCCCAAAATGTGGGGGGGGGAGTGATCTGCCAGCCAGTAGAATATTTTGGGCATTGCGTGAGGTCAATATGCAGTATTGTCAACCCTAAATGTTCAAATATCACAAAATCGGCTTTAAAATCATGAGAGTTTTTAAAAATAACATATTTGGGGTTCTTTTTATTTGTCATATGGTGTTGGAAGTGTTTAGGAATTAGTATTTTCAAGCTTGTTGCCATAACCACAAAAGCTACAGACTTGCCTTTTTTCAAAATGAAAGCTGAGCTGTTCAGTCACACCAATTGAGGAGTTGGGGTTTTGAAAAAGCAACAAATATTGTGAGACCTGTGATGCAGTCACAAGAGTTGGCAACATTGCTTAACCATAATACAATACACACCTTTTGTAAATAAACAAGAAGGGTCATAAAATACTATTTTGAGACAAGAAAATAGGAAACGTTTTGAAATGTTGTTATAACTGCTCTAGGTTAACATCAGGCAGGTTCTATGCAGTAACAATGGAAAAAAGGGGGGGAGAAACTGGAACAGAAAAATAAATCTAGGTCTCCTATGTAGCACCAAAAACTTCTGTCATTAGGCTGAGCCATTTTATTTGTATCAATAAATAATTTTCTCTACCTTATTTTGTTTATATACATATTTTTGTATTTTGGATTATGTACAAAATATAGATGCAGTGTATGCTATCACAAAATGCCATTCAAATGGATTATATAAAACAAATCGTGCTGGATTGCAGTTATAATTATTAGTGTTTGTCTTTGCATGAATATGGAGTCACCAAATACTTATAGTATTTCCATATATAAGTTTTAAAGGAGCATAATTGGGGATAATTGAACAAACTATTTTTGAGTTAAAGGGTTGTGGAAACTCAATACTTTTCTGACCTCAAGAAACTGCTTGTTCTGTCATGGCGTTCTTCATGAGAACAAGGGCACAGGGTTTTATTGAGTTTGAGAAATTGTCATTAAATTTTCAATTGCTTAATTAATGTTTGAACAGCAGTGTGAATATTTAAAGCATCATATAAGAAGTAATGGTGAAATTATGATCCTACTGAAGTAAATAACACTCCCATTAACTTCAGTAGGGCCAGAATTTCACCCAAAGAGTTATCTCCTATGTGTGAATTGGGGATAGCAGAGATTACAGTCTGTGTAAGGCATTTATGAATGTTACATATCTAGAAGCCGTTTCCAAGCTCCTCTGGCATCAACTAACAAATGTTACAGCAGAAACCTGGAATAAAATAATATAATATTTGCAATTGTCTTTTGAGAAGAGCTGGCAACCTCTATGGGAAGCCTGGTTCTGCCCTTTCTATAAGAAGGGATAATGCAAGCCCTAGCATAGTATAGGAATCTGGTGAGGGTATGAAATTGAAGAGCTTTACAGTGTGTGCTCCTGGTATTATTGAACTTGTCCTAGGTGTGGAAATCTTAATTGAGAATTCCTTGCCTTTTTAGTGTTTAAATTATCGACTACCACACTGTAGTAAGTTTAGATGTGTAGATAGAACACATTCTCATCCTTAAATGTGCATTAACAAAGTTACCGGTATTACATTTCTGGAAGGCATTCAGATATTACAGTGATGAGGGTGGTATAAAAACATGAATAGAATAGAGTGACGAGCAAAGTTATTAATGGATAAAGAATGTGTTTGCACTGAGTTAAAAGCAAACTGCATTTCATTATACATCAGCAATAGGAAAAATGACATTTGATGGCTTATTGGTATTATTTTGTGATGGATTGCTCTAGGCAATGATCCTGGAGTCTTGGCATATATTTTCACATTTGCTATTATGCAGAGTGTTATCAAGCATCCAGGGTTTTCATGACACAACAGCTATAGTACAAGGAAAAGAGGCAGACAAAAACACAACATTTGGCTCTCTACCCAAACAAATGTTCCTTGTCAGTTATCTCTATCTTAGGGAAAGATGGTATTACTGTTTAGCAATCTTTTAAGATTAAAATTTACAAATTTTGGATAATAGAAATGTATTCACACAAATGGAGTCTGTCCCTGTTTATTTCTACAAAGACCATCTGCCAGTTGACTTCCTAGTACAAAACAGATTTGTTTCTTTGTAAAAATAAGTAACATCTATTGAAGGGGGGTTTATGAATTGCTGATTGCCTAACTCCTAAGCTATTGGAGTCACAGTGTTTGTATATGGCACACTTACTAGTGAATAGAAATTGTTACTCCTAAAGAATTGTAATGACTATTTCATAACGTCAGAATCTTATTAACAGTATTAAAATTACTTCATTATTATGAGATGTTTTTTTCTTTTAAAATCCAATACATTTTTTTGTAGACTTTAAAATAGTAGTTGAAGATTTTTCAATTAAACTACAATTTTGACCATCACAGTGGATTTATGATAACTCGGTGCACTGTTATGCAGGAAATGCAAGTTGGGATCTGAATTTGGTGACTTAGGCCCAGATCCTCAAAGGTAGTTAAGTGCCTAACTCCCATTGAAATCAGTGGGAGTTAGGGGCTTAAATACCATTGAGGATCTGGATCTTACTCCTTTATGTGGGAGGGAGCACCGTACATGACTTGAATGACACTGTTGAGCTATTCCAAGGGTACTGTTAATGCTCTCCTGAGGGAATTCTCTTATAGCCTTTCTCAACCAAAAGGATAGGTGGATTTTATGCTTGACCTTATAAGGTAAAGAATAAAAGAGGCAAATGAAATATAGCTTACCAAAAAAAAATACTCCAATATATTCAGGCTAAAAATCAGACTACCTTGGAGATCTGACCTGAAGTTTTAATCTTTTTTTTTTCTCTTTAATTTATGGCAATAATAGAAATAACAAAGGGAGGGCAGAATGGGGTAGTACATCTGGTTTTTGTATTTTTCAGTATAATCAAATCTCTGTCAGCACACATGAATGATCTAGATCCAGACATAATGTAGGCAAGTGCTGTGTTATCAATATATTCAACAAAAGTATAGTGCACTTAAGTTCTTGTCTCCTTTTCTTTTCCCAGGACTTTCCTGAGCACAGACTGCCAGCTTTTGGATGAGGCCCAGTTTTAGTTTTCTGTTGAGGCCAAAATACTAATTTTGTTCCCTGCTCTGATCAAGACAAGGAATTCAGAGGAGTCTTATCTTCCATCCTCCTATTCCTCATGGTCAGCTGGCTTTCCCACGTTCCTACTGTCTGCATCTGATATTGGGTTCATTTCTTGGGGAAGGTTGAGTTAACGGAGTGGTCAAGACAAGGGACTGTTTTCTTCCCAACTGCCTCTCATAAGTGGTCCTAACAACACATACTGCAGTCAGGGGCACCAGAACAGGGGAGACCAGGAGCCATAGCCCTCCCACTTCTTACAGGTTGTAAGGGTGAGTGACTGGGGCAGGGGTTGGAGAGGAGCAAGCAAGGGGCAGGGCCTCAGGGAAGAGGTGGCATGGGACTGGGGGGTGGGGCCACTGTTTGGGCAATTCCCCCCCACCACACACACACTTTTCGGCTGCTTCCACCTCTCCTGACTGCAGTGACCTTACCTCAAAGCAACCTAAGACTCAAATGGTCTACTTAAAAAATAGAATTTATTAGGAATAGCACGTTCAGATTAAAACAAAATAAATGATTTGTATAAAATATCTAGTCCATAAACTATAAGAGCTCAACTAAATAGGTACAGGAGGGCTAGCTGCAGTAAAGAAACAAAAGCCTTATGTTTCTAGAGAATATATTCTCTTTCCCCCAGCTGGTTATAGGAAATCCCATATTGGATTTGGATTAGACCAGTGGTCCATCTAGTCCAGTTCTGTCTGTAACAGTGGCTAGTACCAGATAGTTCAGAGAAAGTTGTAAGAAACCCTGCAGTAGGCAGTAATTCCATAACTTTCCTGTGTTTCCTAACACCCAGTAGTTAGAGCCCTGAAGCATGAGTGGTTATATCTTTTCCAAAAGTTGTTAGTTTTTTGTTTTGTTTTTAGTATTCTTCATGTACAGATCTAATTTTTTGAATCCTACTAAGATACTGGCTACAATGATATATTGTGGCAATGAATTCCATAGGTTAATTATAGATTATGCAAAAAAGGTATTTCCTTTTATCAGTTTAAATTTTAATCCTTTTCTTCCCTGATTCTTTTTGCACTAAGCATATAAAAGACACACCTTTCAGTGTATCCCTCTACCCTCTGATCCAGCTTATAGCACTGTTATACTTTTCATGTTTCTTTGACGTTCCTAGCTTATTAATTTACCAGCATCCCCACGTGTTTTTGTAAAGGGCCGTACTAGTTTGCTTCACATGCTTTTATCAAAGTCATTCATCGTTGTAATTTTCATGTTAACAAACAATTTAGGATCCTCTTTTTCTGTACAAATTCCATAACTGAAAATGTTCCTTGAAGGTACATAAGAGTTGTTTCCCAGTCCACCTTTGCATCTTTTTACCTTTTTCACCCCCTCCAAGGACTATCTGCACTTTGTCTCATTTTGCAAGTTTTGGTTTTGGTTGTAAATGTCAACGTGAAGCTGAGGCCTTACCTATGCTTGGGTCAGCGGCACCACTGCAAGTCATGGTTTACACTGGCATGGTGTGTTTATGTGAGGGGTTTGCACTGGTGCACCTACATCAGTATAACTACATCTGTGCAACGCTTTCATCTGCCCACAGTGTTTACAAGGTCTGTTTGTTTTTAAAGATACAGTAATGGGTTTATATAATTCTGATGATTAATCTGAAGCACTTAGAGGAGAGGAAAGTGATCAGGAACAGTTAGCATGGATTCACCAAGGGCAAGTCATGCCTGACTAACCTAATTGCCTTCTATGACGAGATAACTGGCTCTATGGATGAGGGGAAAGCAGTGGACGTGTTATTCCTTGACTTTAGCAAAGCTTTTGATACGGTCTCCCACAGTGTTCTTGCCAGCAAGTTAAAGAAGTATAGGCTGGATGAATGGACTATAAGGTGGATAGAAAGCTGGCTAGATTGTCGGGCTCAACGGGTAGCGATCAATGGCTCCATGTCTAGTTGGCAGCCGGTATCAAGCGGAATGTCCCAAGAGTCAGTCCTGGGGTCGGTTTTGTTCAATATCTTCTGGAGGGTGACGTGGACTGCACCCTCAGCAAGTTTGCAGATGACATTAAACTGGGAGGAGTGGTAGATACGCTGGAGGGTAGGGATACGATACAGAGGGACCTAGACAAATTAGAGGACTGAGCCAAAAGAAATCTGATGAGGTTCAACAAGGACAAGTGCAGAGTCCTGCACTTAGGACGGAAGAATCCCATGCACTGCTACAGACTAGGGACCGAATGGCTAGGCAGCAGTTCTGCAGAGAAGGACCTAGGGGTTACAGTGCATAAGAAGCTGGATATGAGTCGACAGTGTGCCCTTGTTGCCAAGAAGACTAATGGCATTTTGGGCTGTATAGGTAGGGGTATTGCCAGCAGATCAAGGGACGTGATCATTCCCCTCTATTCAACATTGGTGAGGACTCATCTGGAATACTGTGTCCAGTTTTGGGCCCCACTCTACAAGAAGGATGTGGAAAAATTGGAAAGAGTCCAGAGGAGGGCAACAAAAATGATTAGGGGGCTGGAGCACATGACTTATGAGGAGAGGCTGAGGGAACTGGGATTGTTTAGTCTGCAGAAGAAAAGAATGAGGGGGGATTTGATAGCTGCTTTCAACTACCTGAAAGGGGGTTCCAAAGAGGATGGATCTAGACTGTTCTTAGTGGTATCCGATGACAGAACAAGGAGTAATGGTCTCAGTTGCAGTGGGGAAGGTTTAGGTTGGATATTAGGAAAAACTTTTTCACTAGGAGGGTGGTGAAGCACTGGAATGGATTACCTAGGGAGGTGGTGGAATCTCCTTCCTTAGAGGTTTTTAAGGTCAGGTTTGACAAAGCCCTGGCTGGGATGATTTAGTTGGGGATTGGTCCTGCTTTGAGCAGGGGGTTGGACTAGATGACCACCTGAGGTCCAACCCTGATATTCTATGATTCTAAGTGATGCCATAATTGGTTCCTGTGGCTTGTTGCCCTATGCTGCTGCAAAAGGAGTTCCGAGTCTGCAATAAAAACATGATATAAATTGTGGATTAAAAAACTGAATAAAAAACCATGCATCCCTAATGGAAGGACAGGCTGGCTCAAGCAAAGTTAATTGGACAAAATGGCTAATTTGTGAGTGGTGCATGTGCTCACACGGATTAGGTGAACAGCCATTGCCACTCAAAGAGGCAGAGGGCTAGATCTACAAAAGTACTTAGGTGCCTAAGTTTCAGGTTTAGACACTAAGTCCCAGTTTTGGCTCCACTGTGATCAACAAAACTCTCATTTGAACCAAAGTGATTGGAGCAGGGTGTTGGACCCAGGGTCTCCCATTTCCCAGGTGGTACCCTAACCGTTGGATACAGAGTCATATTCTTTCTTTCATTGGCCCAATGTCAGATCCACTGTGGATAAATACTTAAATAGTCACTGACACAGAATGACTAATCCAGTCCACCTGCTCCAACTACTCATTATTTATTCACCATGGAATGGCTTCAACAGGAAAGACTGAGGGAGCCCCACCTCAGAATGTCCCATATATCAGTGGTTCGAGCACTCTGGAGAGGATTTCATCAGCAGTCTCCCCTCTGTCAGAGATGGGGATTTGAACCTGTGTGTTCCACATCCCAGGTAAGAGAGCTAACCCCTGGGTTAAAAGGGGGTGGGCACTTCCTCCTTTTGGCCATTTTGTGTAGAATGAGACAGGCACCTAACTCATTCCTGCAAGAAATTACTTAGGTGCCTAAGCCACCTGACTCCAGGAGATGGGTTCCCATTCATGGATTGCTAAACAGAGTTAGGTGCCTTCTGTAGCCTGGTCGTAGGAGCATATCTACGAGAGGGGCAGGGCTTAGAACATAACCCTCTTGTTGGCATCTCCCATTAGCTAGCTTAGATGCCTCTGGACCGGCCATGCTGGCTTTGTGGATCATATTTGAAGGTTCCTGTTGTTCCCCATTCATTGTATAGGGACCTAGGTCTCTAACTCAAGTCTTTGTGGCTCATAGTGAGTTTGTGTGATTTTTCTAGTTGCTAAAAGTTAGGTGCAGTGATATGATATTCTGCATTTCAGCATCTACATCCTTGTGTGGAGCTGTGCCAAGAATCCAACCAACCATTTCTCAACAAGGTAGCTGAGCCTGCCCTTCTGCTGGGCAACTCTAGGTGTTTTCAGTATAGATTGGAGAGCATATGGGGAGTGATGCAGAGTCCTGCACATCCAAACTATGTCTGGTCTAAACTAAAAAGTTAGACTCGTCTATGTCACTCAGGTGTGAAAAATCCACACCCCTGAGTGATGTAGTTAAGAAGACCTATGTCCCCATGTAGATAGCGCTAGGTTGATGGAAAAAATTCTTCCATCGACCTAGCTACTGCCTGTCAGGGAGGTGAATAACCTACACTTATCGGAGAACCGCTCCTGTTGGTGTAGGTAGTATCCACATTGAATCTCTACAGTGCCTTTGTAGCATTTCAAGTGTAGACGAGTCCATAGCATGAGTGGTACTGGTTGCACTCACTTCCTGTGAAGCTATATTTTAATTTTCTGGCATTTTTTTTCTTCTTGGTAAAGTCTGCATGGTGTTAAAATTATTTGACAGTCACTCTCTGTAGTTGCGCTGTTTGTTATATTCTGGTACTGCTGATGCAGTGATGTTTTTTCTCTCTGATGAAATTTACAGGCACATTATCTTGCCTGAAAGGAACAGTGTGCCATAAAGATTTCCTGCAGAGAAACTTTGCAGTGTAATGTGTTGACCACTCTGATTTTCCAGCTATAATAATTACACCATCCCTGTGATACACAATTACTAATTAATCAAATAGCCTGTATTAAAATCCATGAAGGCTTTATTTCAGAGAAATAATTGTGATCTTTAAATAAATCAAGGAACAATCAGATAATGCATACTGCTGATCTCATTAATTTGTGGTAGCATCCACCGATGCTAGATGTTCGCCAAACACTTTTCCCTTTATGCCCAGTGCACAAATGCAAACATTTTTTGAGAATAGGGGAGATGCTCAGTTCTTGACAGATGTGTTTCTCCTCAATGGGAGAATAGATTGGATGTATGCTTTCCTACTTTTTCTGTTAATATTGAAGGCTGTAAAGAAAATCAGGCAGGATGCTGCCAAAAGTTGCTCCAGCATGGCACAGGCAGCAAGAGTACCCAGGACTTGCTTCTCTTCTCCAAGGGGAAATTCAAGCTGTGACTGAGGTCCCAGGGAGCCACACTGACATTACTTAATTAGGGCAAACTGCAAGGAATGGGGCAGACAATCCCCAAAGCTGGTGCTCATTCCAATACTTAGATCCACCAAGCTAGCCACAAAATAGCTTCTATAATACCTTACTGGTTACCCAGGAGCTAAAACACAGTTCCCTTAAAGCAGCCCAGCCTTGGGCTTCCACCCAGATAACCCAGTCAAATGTGACAAGGATTACTGAAAATCTTGTTCATCATATAAAAAAGTCCTACCAATGCCAAAGGATTGGACACATTACCTCCCAGGCTAATGAATATTTCAGATCTTACCCGAATACACATTTCCAGCCAATTTTTATTAAACTGAAATTTATTAAAAAAGAAAAGA